ATCCTCGGGGGCGGACATCCGGGCATTTTCACCGCCTGGCAACCCGCGGCGGTGAAAACAAAGGCCCAAAACTCGCAGAAAACGGTACTTTGGGATGATTGTTGAGACTCCTCTGAACAGTGCAACAAGATTAGCCCTACGTGTGTAACATATATAAATTTGGTTGTTCGGAATTACTTCAAAGTTGAGTTCGTGTTGTTTTCTCGAATTTTCACCGGCTCGACCGGCGTTCCACAGCAGCGCGCACAGAGCCCATAGAAATGCATTGTACAGTGGTGCGCGTCTTAGCAACGTGGAACGTCTGTGACGTAGCTCCGCCCCCGAGGATATGTTTGGAATTGCGCATGTTTGGAACTGCTAAAAATTGGCATTCCAGCTCAGCAGCCAATCAGCGACGGCCTTACACTTAGATGACAATTTCAACACAAATACCACGGCTTAGTGTTCTAGGTTCTTCGTGTAATTAGGTGTTCGTATGCAAAGGATTTTTCTACACAAAAACGACGAATTTTACCGATTTTTTTTATTGGTTGGCTTAATATAACCCCAACGGACCGTATTTTTGTGAAAGATTGGTGTTTTTGTCCTAATTTGTAGGAATCTGAAAAACGCGTTTCACTTATACTGTAAAATGACTAATTTTCACTGGGTTTAAATTTCACTGATTTACCATTTCAGGCATATTCAGTGGGTTTTAATTTAGCGCATTTTCCAGTCAGCGAAATAAGCAAAATTAAAACCCATTGAATAATTACCCCCTTTACAGTATTTAGTTTTATGCTGCATTCAAGATGGCGCCCCCCATATAGTAAATATTGTACTTATTTTATTATCACCACGTGTGCGCCAGCTGACTGTGGTGACAACCATCCCTTAAAATTCACGTTACTTAGAAAGTTTGATAAACCTCGTGATAAGAAACGTGATAAGAAATAATTAATTTTGTTTAATGATGAAATAAAACAATTGTTGGTAAATCATCTTCCAGAAAAAACATAGCTGTAAACACAAGCGCTTGGTGTAAAAAAAGTCTATGAATATAAAATTTGTCCAAACAAAATAATTATTATATCTCAATAATAAATAGTATACTATTCCTTTTTTAGGTCATTACCTCCTCATTATCCCACAAGATTCCAATTAACTTATTGGAATATGTAATGTGATCACCACCTAAACAGACGATACCTTATTGATGTTCTTTAAAAGAATTACTCGTCACTTCGGAAATACATATGTTTTTCAGAAAGTGTTCAGTGTCCACATTATTCAGAAAACAATGACCAAAAAGTCTTCACAACTTTGCCAATAGGTATGACATGGGGGTCACTCACTGTCTTGGTGACCCGAAATGTTTCTAAATCAGAGGTAACTAATGGCGGCTGTATATTATAAAACCATTGAGGTAAAATACAAAAACACAACCCCTCTGTCACGTGATGAGGGACTGTGGGTGAAGCATTGCGTTTATGCCAGTGTACAATACTGGATGTGTCCACGAGAATTGGTGTAACTTGCTACAGGTTGTGACGGAAAAAAACATTTATTTGTTTTACAATTTATATTTATAGGATTTACTCCAGCAAAATTCACAAAATAACTCCCGTTTTTAAATTCTATCAGAGCTGACGTAAATAACACTAAACTGTTTAATTTTCGAGACTTGAAAGCAGGCCCGGGACGTTCCCGAGAACACACTTTCACAAAAGTCGTTGCGACGCCGTGTGTCTTCAGAACACTAATGGAATTGTTTACTGCTACAAACTTTGCAATTTTCAGGAAATATGCAAAAATGTATCTAAAAATGGTTTATGGTATATTATCATATACCCGGTATATTGCTCGACTTCGTAACGATATGGGAAGTGCGCCCTCTCATCTGGGCAATAATTTCCTGTATCAAGCCCGGGCCAGCGCGCCCGGCTTTAATCATTCAAAACAAAACACGTCATTCTAAATTACATCGTGTGTTTGAGGTCACGCCATGGTAAATTGTAATCACACGTATAAGGTATATGGTAAAACCTCGTATTAAAGCTCGGGCGCTTCAGCCGCACGACCTCTCATTTTTTTTATTCTGTGACCATGGAAACATACACTTAGCATTTGGAATTATATTTATCTATTATTATACTTTATTTCGAGTACTAGCTCATTATTAAAGAATAAATAACAAGAAAATGTACATAATAAATATATTAAAAAACTTGGCTCAGCCAAGTACTCAAAAGTGTACTACATTTCATTACATCCGGGCTATAAATAGCTGTAATTATAAAATTGGAGAGCAGTAAGCAAATCTTCGAATAAGCCAATTTGCTCTAGCGTAAAAACTTTTCATTTGTCTATTAATACCATCACTATCATCTCCCTATTTATTAATGACCACACTCAAAAAGGTGTGCTTGTCGACAAATCGTACTGCAACACCGTTCAAAAATATGCATGTTTGTCTAATTCTACAACGAGGAGGTAGCAACTAGTCTTTTAAGACAAAGTAATACAATGTCATCAGCAAAAAATAGACGATTTATGCACTGTTCACTTACAAAACACCCAATTATAACTCGAACTTCGATTAACTGTTAATTAAATTTTGAGTTACTAACTCGAAGTTTGAATACTGTTAATTAAGTTCGAGTTACAAAATTTGAAAGTTAAACAAAACAAAAAATGTTATGTTGCCTGTAACTCGAGGTTTGGTTAAATGTTGTTTATAAAGTTAGAGTTACTAAATGTTACTAATATGTATGTTGCCCCTAGCTCGAAGAAGTTCTGTTAACTGTTAATTGAACATCGAGTTACAATTTGGGCGTAGTTTCACAAAAGTCGGCGTGGTTTCAATGTGGGCGTCGTCATTTCTGTAACTTGATGTTTTCGTAACTCGATGTCCGTAACTCGAACAATTCAGTATCTCGTATCGAAGAATTCACCGGCGGTAATTAGTGCAAGTCGCGCCCAGGTCAAAACTCAAACTTCCATTAGAAGAGCGCATTGGATTGTGGGAAAATCAATGTTTATCAACACGAATGTCTCACATGCGAGGCTCGACGACAACCACCCTTTAACGGACGACCACGGATCACCAAAACAAAAGCAAACTTGGATGGCAACTAAAACAGCGTTTTATACATTGTAACGTTTTCAAAGGTCGTAATTAAAATGTTCTATCGATAGTAGTTCATTTAGTATTTAGCGGTTATTAACCATAAGAAACTCCATGTAGAAGATGAGACACTTATTGTATATATTTATTTCCTTCATTTAATTTTAAATTGATGTAATTTCACTTTCAAAATTGTCTATTTGCATATTGTTATCTCAAATATACTACCGCTCCCGAGTCTGTAATGGTAGAATGTTTTTTAGTAAATTGTTTTATGCCCATCTTGTTGACTTACATATAGCATCTTGTTTATTTGTTGGTGTCTGTGTCAAGAAAATAAAATATGGGAGTATAAATGTATAAATGGCGAAAGCTATATTACCGCGAAATAAACATTTATTTCGTGGTAACCTGACTTTCCCCATACACATTCTACCATGATACATTTATTTTATTGAAAAAACAAACACCAACAAATAAACAAGAGATTGTATGCAAGTCTATCCGTCTTGTTATAATAAAAGATTATGAAAGATACATTAGCCGAGACAAACCAAAGACACTAGAAAAAGGATGTCCAACAACGGGATTTTCAACCTGTTATTTTAATCCTTCCAACGGTCACCAACATACGTGTGATCAATGAAAACACCGCAGTTGGACGTCCCTCTTTTTCTAGTGTCTTTGGACAAACCAATTTGTTGGCGGAGCGAATGAAACTATACGAACACCCCTCCAAATAATGTGCTGGCCACATCCTTATCGCTCTACACTTTCGCACGAGGGCGCACATCACATTCATTTTTGAAAAACTAAAGTCACTCGTTTTCTTTCCAGACGTCGGGAGGTGTTGAGCGTTTGTGGCAGAAAGGATTTACTGAAGTCGATTACTACATCATGACGAAGAGATTGCAGACTACGGCAGCCATGGGCTGTCTCAAGATGCTCCTGACCATTTTCAACTTAATTTTTTGGGTGAGTAAAAGTAAAATTTTCGACAAGACGAATTTAAGCTGCCAGTATCGTTACGAATCGCTTCGATGAATAATCAAACACCCACACGAAAACAGTCACGATTTCTCACTTAGCTGTAAAAAATAATCTCATTCAGCTGATAATAATGTATTTTTGTGATTTCACTAAAGCATTGCAAACGCGTGCTTTTAGAAATTCTCTGGGAAAATAAAATAGTGCGAGAATTAAGAAATCCGCGTAGGATTAAACCACCCCAGCTGTGAAACGATATACTTCCTGTCTCTGCGCCTACTCAGAGATCAACAAGATTCGATTCCTTAAAAAAAATGCCACGTCGACATGTTGCAATATCGGCGATCAAGAATCGAATCTCTTTACGATTTACAAACTCGTACCGTGACGTCTTTTCAAGAATAACAATATATAAACACAACATTACAGATTATTGTTATACTGCTGTCACGGGGGGTGGGGGTGGGGGGTTGTTACCGGTGCACAATCAGCCGAGGCACAGTCCTCTATAGACTGTGGCCGAGGAAATCAGTTTCTAAGACCTGTTCTCCCATTGTCAGTAACATTTCCATTTTGTTTGAGTTTTTCCTAACACATGGTGCACATATTAACAATGTAAATCCTATTATTACTATTAGCTTTTAAATATCTGGTTATAGTTAAGTACTGTTTAATTGTAATATCTCTAAAATGCCCATTATATAATATTCAAATTTTCCATAGCATATTTACATGCAACTGTGTTGCCTGGTTAGGTTATCTTGGCCACTTTGACACAAGCACTTCAGTGTTAAAATATAGTAGGCACTAAAACCCATTGTTATGTTAACGTCACAGCATAGGTTCGATTTAAATTGTATAATGGCTCACTGTTCTCTTTGCTCAAAGGGGACTCGGGCATTCTGCATGTGAATGTCTTCTTATTGTATTTTGCAATCGTCCATGAAGCCATGGTTGTATGTAAATGCATCTTTGATGAAACCAGCAAAAATGGACAAATTAAAAGCTCACTTCAAATATGTCAACACAAATGTTACAAATTAAAACAGAAAATAAATTAAATTTACTACTGCAGCTAGGAAGTGTATTGTGATGCACCAGTGAATAAAAAATGGAATTGTACATTATACTCCATTTTTATTCTGTATGTCATGTGTTATAAGGAATTTAGTTGTACCATATTTGTTTTACGGCTACAGTTCATTGTCACGTAAGCCAAAAAATTGCGTTTTTAGTGGGACAATTCCTAGTCTTTTTAAAAGGACATTTTATGCGTAAGTGCACATAAAATTTATATTCACAAAAACAAAATAGAATGAATATGGTATATGTTGTGTTTACTGTCATCCTTTGTCGATCACATATACATATTCCTATATGCGAAATGTGTATTGGAAAGCAGTGGTACTGTGGCCACGACTTACACATCTAATCAACAAAATCGTTAGTTAATTGGCTGACAATACAGCTGTGTTGCACGGAATGTTGCCTCCAAATCTAACTAACGATCTACTGGCTTCCCACAACAAATTCATGGCCGCACAGTAATATAATATGGAGTTTCAGAACTGTAGCAGATCCCCCTTCCACATCTAATCCATGACTGATATAATAGATCACAACAGATGGAAGGACTTGTTAATGTATCGATACTACATTGTAAATTTAAATTGTGTTTGTTGTGAATTTGATATCTTTTCTGAATACACTCAAATATTTTTTAATATGCGATTGACCTTAGTGGCACCTAATGAACATATGCTAGATAAAATGCTACACAGGTTGAAAATTGAATTTTTGGTTAAAACCCCAATTTTATTTTTCAGTATCACAGTATACTAATGTTATAAATACATGCCTGCTTACATGAAATTTCACAATGTGTTTACTCATTTGGTAATTTGGCACAGCAATAAATAAATAAATAAAAAAAAAATGTGTTTTTATGAAATTTAACTGTTATAAAGTAGTTTGAAGAGAACACTGATAAATATAAAATTTTCATATCAGGATATCAAGAGACCACTAATCTATCAGCCTTTTGAAAAGAATCCTCTTTATATAAAACACAGTTCAATAAGACAGGTAGTGAATATTTTGATGTCTATTAACTTAAACAAAAATCACTGCTAAATTCCTCCAGGTATACCATAGTATTTCCTCGAATACCTAAAAGTGGCAGCCATTTTGTGCAGAGTCCTTCAACTTTTATTGGATTTAATTACTTCTAATTTTTTGAAATGTGCTTATTGAACTGTATAGCAAAATAACCTTACCTGACATGACAAAAAATATAAAAAAAAAAAAAAAACTAGAGATCTACCGGTACTTATTATCCTTAAACACTGTATCAAATAAAGTATGGTTAATTATTTAGACTTTCATCTATATATTAAATTTATTAATCATATTCAGTAGTTTATTCTATTTTTACTGATATTCTTATCGTTACTGTTTTCCAAGCACACAAAACGTAGTAAATACAAATTAAAATCGGGTTAATTGGCATACAGCATCATTAATAATGAGTCATCTGTTGTTTTGAGTGCATTCTCTATTCATATACATGTATTATAATTATACCTGATCTACTGTCGTAATTTTAATTTATCTGTTGCTATAGTGATATATAAAATGGCCTTTTTTACTAAAATTAATTCCAAATATTGTATTCCATATATGCATTATATTATATTTGCCGCAATAGTGCAGTAAAAAGTGAAATACTCCATCGTACATGTACCATTTTGTCTTTACTAAAACCAGTAATAGTCACTAAAATTTATAATTGCTCATTTTTGTGTATTTCTGTATTTAATGCCAGCATATTCTAAACATTTCAATATTAATAATTATGTCTCAAAAGCAATTAAATATATTCACCATATGGTAGGAAAAAAAATGTTCCTTTCATTCTCGATTGTTGCATGTGACCTCAATAACTCGGACCTTTATTACTTATTCATAGCGTTTAATATCCCTGCGTTTTGAGATAATATACCCCCGGTACCTCGGTACCTGTTTTAATCGGATGTGCTGTTGATGTACTGAGATGCGTTGGGATAATAAATGTGTGAGCATTCATGATGAATGGATTCAAGTTTTATTTGCATATACTTTTAATAATAAATTTGCTGTTATATATATGTGTAGCTGCAGTCAGGGTTGAGTTAACTTAATTCTGACGTTAATTCAATATTTATTTTTATTGTTATTATTTAGTTATTTTATAATTTATTTGTTTTCACATGAATAATTTACTGTGAAACCAATTATTTTAATTTTTTTGATGTTCTGAGCTTAGTCACTGTGTTTTAATTGCACGAAATTGTCAAGGAAAACAATGAGTTCTATTGTTATTTTACATGTTCACATAGATTTAATTTAGCATATTTTACTTATCATCGAAAATAGCAAAATTTAAATCCAGTGAATAATTAATGCATATATTGTTAAGTTACAAGTTTAATATAAGTTTACTTGGATCAATTAAATTAGTTTAACCCTAAATTTGTCAGTCCTATGTACTGTTATGATGACCACATAAGAGTTAAATTTTTGTGAACTGTCAGTTGTGAAGGTTAGTAAATACTGATTTAGATGTATTTGAAAATACTGTAAATGAGTGGAGATTCAAAATATTGCATTAATTAGTATCGATTTCAATAATTGTGCAAACTTGTGGATGAAAAATGTGGTGATTATGCTCAAAATATCGAAATAGTGAAATTAAATAGTTTTACAGCAAGTCTTATTTCAATTATCTATAATGAAATTTTTAGTCTATGTGTGTTACTGTTTGAGATATGCTTCTTATAGAGCAAATACAGTATACACAGTGCACCTAACAATTTACTATAAACACATGTGCTTCTAATAGAGAAAATACAGTATATACAGTGCACCTAACAATTTACTATAAACACGTGTGCTTCTAATAGAACAGGGGTTGCATTAGTGTTCGATAATGTGGAGTCCCTGGGACCCACCCCTTATAAAATGTGTGGGTCCCTTAAAAATATGTGGGGTCCCTGCCGCTACCGCACTTTATTTTTCTAAAATAGTTTTTTGCACGAACTATTACACAATAAACATAAACAGGCATTAATCACATTTATATTGTACTTTATTTACATGTTCATTTCAGCCTTTACATGTCAGCAATCTGCATTATTTACATGGTTTACTTCTATTTTTACTGTTATTAAAATGTAATGCTGCTTGTAAAAATTTTAAATCATTACTGGGTTTACCTTCAAGTTCTTCATAAGCCAAG